CCTAGCAACTGCCCTCTCTACCCCCTGCCGCGCCTCGTGTCTCATTGTCGGTGGATCGCGCGGAGCCCCGGGACTCGAGCCGAGCGGGAGTGCTGAAGTGCGATTCATGCAGCATCTGGGCACCACGCAAGGCTTCCGGCTGTTTTTTTTTAGAGCTGGCACCGTGAAGGACAAGGCGAATATGAAGCAAAAGAAGGCGATCCTCTACAGCCTGGGGAAAACCAAGCCCCTCCAACTGAAGCTGATTCCGAAAAAAAATTGCCACGGGCTCGTACGCGAGGGACTGAAAGCGGTGGTAAGTGAATCTACTTCAGAACATTCGAAACAGACCATGAAATTAAACGGACCGCATAGCACTTCATATTTATCAAACAAGCGGATCAAATTAGTTTGCAGTGCTATAGTGTGTGTAAGCTATTAGTGTAAATCAAGCTAATCGTATCGCTGATAAGGCGTTCATCCTGAACAGGTATGTCCGACTCCGAATCTTTGCTTCACCAACGCCATTTCGACAGAAACCCACCGGCAATCTCACGCTGGACGAAGTGGAGGCGGTCGGCAACGCTGGGGCCTGCTTGGATCCCGATGGCATTAGACGGCTGGACAGAGCCGCCTTCGAAGTCATGCTCCCAAAATTCAAGGCATGTGGGCAGGGAACGGGTTTGTGTCCACGTCTAATGTTCTCGCACCACGGCTCGCAAGACCTGGAGATATCTAGGAGAAATCGACGTCACTTTAACTGGACAGCGCATGCAGACATTGCGGAAGCATGACATCAACGCCGCGTTGAAGCACTGCTTAAAGTTGCTGATAGCATGGTGTTGACATATTGCCTCCTTCCGGACTGAATGTAAACCGTTTATTTCATGTCTCTACACTTTGAATGTCATCTCTGGACGTTCTGCCCGTGCTGTTGACAAGCCGGCGTTTTGGCTCAGTGGTACATCAGTGACAATATTGTGTTTTTCCCCAGGGGGAGTGCGTCGATAAGGGTCAGATGGACGCGATCCAGAGTCAAATCATTCGCTTCAACGGGTAAGCAGGCCAGCTGACGATTTATTAGCCTCATTAATTAAACTATCGTGCTCAGGTGACCTCCCCAGTCATCACCGGGGTGCTGCAAGCACTATCGCCGACTCCATCCCCAACCCCGACCCTGACCCCGAACCTGACCCCGAACCGGACCCCGAACCTGACCTCGACCCCGACCTTCCGGCGAGTCTGTCGGATCTCTCTTCGCGAGATTGCAGATTGCGAAGCTACGTTTAATTATAAAGAGCTATGATTACGACAGCCATGTTACAAGTGTTTGGCCACACGCAGGCATGCTTTTGCCATCCGCTTCTGATCACCACCTGGCGGCGGCTTCTGCCTGGGGGTGAGGTTGGGAGATGACAATAGTAGTTGTAGGTACCATGCGTCGGTAATCATACTTACCATTGAGAGAGTTGGATGGTTTTCTACCCACCACCTTGTTTGACCCGGTCGGTCATGCTTTAGATGACTCCAACACAGCCTGTGATTTGCATGCGCTTCGAGTGCGTCTTTGACCCCTTGACCTCTGGCATCTGCAGCTGTGTGCTCTTTGAGCTACCGATATCGTGACAATCATCTCTGGCGTCTGAACTGTTCAGCCCTAACTTCTGTGACCCATGACTCGTGATGAGTAGCCACCGGACCTATGTGCCGAGAGAGAACATCTTGCGTTTCAATCATATCTCGAACTTACATGGCACTTATGGTGTATACGATCCCTAATTTTGCTGGTCTTCTTTGCCTGCCTATTGTACTTTGCATTGTCCTGATTTTGCTTTGTTCTGCCTTGCCTTGCCTTTGCCCTGTCACTTCTGAGGGTCACGTGGACCCAGCTTATGATATTTACATCACTTCAGTGACCTGCACGTTGCATGCGCAGTACAGTGCCTGAAGCATCATCTAACCGGTGTGACCTATGACCTAACTTAGCTACCCTAATCTAAGCTACCCTAGCTTGACCTAACTGTGACCAGTGTGTCACCTATGTGTGATAAGAATCCTGCCGACTGGCACAGTCTGACCTCTACAACCACTCCGACCTCTGCGACCCCCGCCACCTCTGTGTGATAGGGATCGTGCCGATGGGCTCAGCCTGACCTCTATGACCCCTTTGACCTCCGCGTCCCCGGGAACCGGCCGGCTGGTTTAGTGCGGACTGCGACGTTGGTCGCCCGTGCGTTCTGCGTCACAGCAAAACGAGGGCGTGCCTTAGTCTGGACAATAGCCTCTGCCGTATTTTGTTTGCCCCTGCGTGGGAACAGGATGGCGGGCCGATTCATTCCGGACTGACCCAATCAGTCCCTTAACACGCGCCCGGGTGGAGGGGGTCAAATTGACCCCCCCCGAAAGGTTTCTCCAGTATGGTTTCCGAACGGCATGGCGTAGCCGCGCCAAATTTGCATAGCTGTAGACAATTGAATAGCTGATCCTTTGACATAAGAATATGTACCTTGTAAGGTTGGTGACCTATGGCAGGTCAAGGATGTTGAATGAGCAAATTACGCTGACCTAAGTCCAGGTATGAAAGTCAGACCAAGGTCAAAACCAACCTGACTTATTATTCCAGGGCTTGCTGTATGGAATAGTTTGTGGTGCTCATTTCGAATTTATTGACAGCAGGAACCGCGTTATGCATTTTCCATTGACTTTTTAGACGTCAGAGCAGGTCATTGACCTAAGACGACCCAGGTCGACATTTTGTTTTAGGAACATACTGCCTAGCGTAATCCTTGTCGCTTATTCAAATGCAAAACTCAGGGCAGTCTTGCATGGTTTTAGTCACCATGACCTTCGAAAGTCAAACAAGGTCACTGACCTCAAATGGGCTTGTGGACTTGTTCTTAGAAACAGTTGCCCAGGTTCTGGAGGCACTTTAGAAACCAACCTGGAATTTGACCTTGTTTGACCTTATTTGGCCTGAAGACCATGACCTAAGAAGCTCAAACTTTGACTAAAGTGAGTTCATATGCATGTCAAGACACCCTGCAAATTTGGTATTTCTAGCTCTCTTAGTTCCCGAGATCTCAATGGGGTCAAACTGACCCCCACCCGAGCGAAGGGTGTCCAGCCGGCCTCCCGGGTGCGTGTTAAAAGTCATGCGTCTCAGGAAGCCAGCCAACTAATCCCCGTCGACTGTACCCCTAAGGAACGACCAACACTGCGGCCTGGACTGGACGCAACCAGGTTGCCGCTACTCTGTACCCTATAGGACTCCTCCTCCTGTGGGATGGCCAGCACTTTAGCCTGGACTGTTCGCAGCCAGGTTGCCGCGACTTTGCACTCTGTAGGGCTCCTCCGTCACAGTCCGCCGGCCGGCTGGATCCGCGTGCACCGCGCCCGCCGTGACCCATGACCCGTGACCCCTGCGACCTCTGCCTCGCAGAGAGCCGGCCGGGTGGTTCAGTCTGCAGCCATTCTGCGATGTGCTGGGTCTGCTGGACGACGCCAAGCTGCGAGAGATACCGGAGACGCGCATCGTCGCCGAGTGCGGCGCCGGCTCCAGTGAGGACGACAGCCTGGCCGACAGCATGGTCCGCTACGTCCAAATGGTCCAGGTCAGTGACTCACGGCGGCTGGAGTGTGCTCGAGTCAGAGATCCCCGTAGTTTTGGAGTCCGCAACAGATGTAGAGATTCCACCAGTGGTGTAGCCAGGCCCCTTGTAGGCAAGGGGCCTCTTCGACGTGAAAGGGGTTCTGTTTTAGACTTCGGATGAATTTTTACGCCCAGAATTCTACGTTGGTGCCTGGGAGATATATTTTGTGTTCAAGAAGCTCTACCTTCAACTGCAAAAAAGGTCCTGTGATCCTCAGGCTCTAGCGCTGCCACTTCTTCCAAGGGGAGGGAGATGATGCTAAAAACTCTCCCTGGCCGCACCACCGGATTACCACTGGAAATTCTGGACCGGTCGGGGGGGAGAGGGGGGGGCGATCTGCCACCGCAGAGTCGTCCAGGCCTGGGACCTCGCAGCGACTCAAGCCACTCTTATGATGAACACTCGTCGAATCTGAAGGCGCTGGGAACATATTGCTGCTTCCTCCTGGTGAGCGTGCGTCCACCAGGCCACTGACGATCTCTCTCCCCCGCTGCCGTAGCTGAACTGCAAGCGGCAGATCGGGGCCAGTGACTTCGATCAGCTGAACGAGCGGCTGGCGAACGTGGGTCGCCGCCGGGCCCGCGGCGTGATGATGGCACAGAAGGAGATGGAGGACTCGCTCAACGCGGACGTCAGTGCCAGCTCCAGCGCCAGTGCCAGTGGCAGTGGCAGTGGCAGTGGCAGTGCCAGCGCCAGTGCCAGTGCCAGCGCCAGCGCCTCAACAACAGCCAGGTAGGTCAGGCGGCGGCAATCCGACTCCGAGTCAGTGGCGTTCTGTGAGGGCAAGGCGGTGGCCAGGTCACCCCGAGTCAAAGTCAGGCGGGCCTGGGCCAGTCCGAGCCGGTCCGAAGCACACGGAGCCAGTCGGTAGGGGGTGCACAGGGTGTTCGTAAGGGGGTGGCAACCCTGCTCTGCACCCCAATAGATCCGTCGCTGGGCGACAAGAATCCCCAAGATCATGACTGACTTACTGCTGCAGCTGCTGTTGGCCTTCTAGGGAGCACCAGTTGTAAAGCCATCCCATGTGTTTTGAGGCCTCGTGGTTAGCACGCTGCTACTTGACACGGTGACCAATGATAAGTTAGTGCTATGAAGAATTAGTCAGTCAGTCAAAGCAAGTTCAGCCAGTTAGGGTAAGTCAAGGGCAGCCAGACTAAGCCAGGTGGAACCAGCCAATCGGTCAGAATTCTGAGAGGGCCGACGCATGAACTGGTGCGAACCTCTCACGCCATGACGACCGTTGCGGCCTCCGGGGGAGATAACTTTGACACGCCTGCGGCACCACCTGTCGAGTCAGCACAACTCCATGACCTTCACACGTCTTCGCCCAGCCGTCCAGCAATCGGCCGGCTCTGATGCCCGCAGGCGACGACGAGCGGCCGAGCCGCCGCTGACCTGCGCAGCCGTGATGGAGAAGGGCAGCGGCGCCGAACCGTGGTCTGTCTCACAGCTGTCGGACATGGCGGCCGAAGAGGTCAAGGAGTGCCAGGCCCAGCTGGGCTCGGTCATGGCCGACGAGGACAAGCTGAAGGTGGTGTGGGATGAGCTCAAAGAGGTATGGCTCGCGCGGTCTGCCCTGAGTGGGCGGGTGAGCTGAAACGAATGACGGTGTTTGCTAGGTTTTTGCCGACCCAATTAATCGCTTAAACCACGAGTGGTGCAGCCTGCTGCCGTTCGGTCGTGTTCGGATGCGCATGAGTCCCGCAATGTGCTGTTCTTGAGCCTGTGCGCTGTGGGCTGTGAGCTGGTGAGCCAGTGAGCCGTGAGCCGGTGAGTTGTGAGCGGGAGAGGCGTGAGCTGTGAGCTTTGAGGCATGATCTGTGAGCCGTCATCCGTGAGCTGTGATCCGCGAGCTATGAGCTTTGAATTGTGAGCTATGTAAGCCGTGGACTGTGAGCTTTGAGACGTGAGCTGTGAGCCGTCATCTGTAAGCTGTGAGCTATGGGCTATGGGCTGTGAGCTGTGGGTTGTGAGCCTGTGAGCTGCGAGCTGTGAGCCGGTGAGCTGTGAGCCGGTAAGCCGCGGGCTGTGAGCTGTGAGCTGTGAGCCGGTAAGCCGCGGGCTACTCGGTGAGCCGGTGCCGTCTGCGTGCTAGCTTGCCCGGTCGTTGCCGCTGTGACGCTAACAATGCAGAGCACACATTCGTGAAAGGACGGGCGCCGCTCAGATCGCTGGACGCACGTACGGCGGTGGCGGGCGTGGCTTGTGGGCGTGGCTGGCGTGGAAACGCATGCTGGCGACATTGCAGGCGTACAGCGGGGCCGACAAAGTACCGATGAGCATGATCGGGTACGTGGGCTCCGTCATCCCCAGCGCCGACATCGCGATGCTCGACCTCACCACCGAAGATGCCGTTTTTGAGTTGGGAATGCCTATGAAGATGACGGAAGCGCAGGTAAACTTGTTGTCCTGATTTTTTACGTGTCTCTCAGCTTGGTGGGGGTGGGGGGGGGGGGGGAGGCGACATCTACTCGGGATGCGGCATATTCCCTGCGTAGTATTTGCTGTCCGTGCACAAGCCTTTCTACTTGCCGCTGGAAATGAACAACACCACGCTTGCCCATACAATCGTCATGTTGGAGCCAACGAATCTTAGCCGTGCGGGATGCGTGTCGTGGCGGATGACTTCCACGAGCTCCCTGGTTATCCTCCACGGCCGCGACGCCGAGCACGGCGCACCCTTCCGCCGCGTGGCGCCACTCGCCTCACCCGCCCCGCTCGCTGGCAGCTGGATGCACTGGCGACCCGGGCGAAGGCCCAGTGGAGTGTGCTGTCTGGCAGCGCGGCTGACTACACGGCGGACACCGTGGGCACTCTGGGCCAGATCATCTGCGGCATGGCCCCGGCCGACGTGGAGAGCATCCCGGCGGCGCGCTTCAAGTGAGACGCCGTGCAGCACGGCCCAGTCTAAAATATGGATAAATAAGCTACTTATATGCTATAGCATGCGCTATGTAAATACTTGGCACGGTGCGCAGATGTGCTAAGCGGCTGCTGAGATCATCTTTGTTTCATTTCGCGTCATGCAGGCGGTGTTCTCCTTCGACACAAAGATGGCCGATTTTCGCCTCTCGCACTGCAGTGCTAGAGCTCCCTGTAGCTAAGCCGCGGCTAGCAGGCGATGTTGCCCTGGGACTGTCAAGGTGACCGGCCTTGCCCTCACGGCACCGGGCCGCAGCTCACGCACTCTGTCCCCGCTGTGACCTGTGACGCGACACCGATTCTGCGCGGCAGGGAGGCCATGACGGTGCTCTCCGAGGTCTACTGGTGCAAACAAGCCGTCGCCGAGAAGTTGGCCGATAAAGCCGTCGCCATCTACGGCGAACCATCCACCTGGGGGATGAGTGAGGTGGGGCTGTGGCCTCAGGCCGCGTCTAGGACGGGGTGAAGTGGAAGAGCGGGGGGGGGGGGGAGATCTAGGCTGGGGCGCAGCGCGGGGACCTGGGTTCTGAACGCGGCTATGGCGCCAGCGAGCCAGCTCTGCCCACCGCCGATGATTTTCTGACACGCGCCATCTATGATCGTAATTGTCTTTTCTTGTGACGTGAACGTCATCGGCTCGTAGCAAGGAAAGGCGTTGCGCATTGCGAGCAGCATATGTAAAGCAAGGTGACCTTGGTAAGCGATTCTCATTGGCCAGGTGGCTGGCGTGGGAGCGGTGATTGGCGGGCTGGAGGCGATGAAGCTGAAAAGCATCAAGGACGAGTCGATGCGAGGACTGAGCGCCGATGGCATGATGAGCATCCCGCCCAGCAAGATCGCGGTACGACCTCACGTCTGCTCCCTCACGCGGCTGTGGAGGTCCCCCCCCCCCTCCGGACATGTCCTGGCATGTCTTTCACGCAGCCGTGCGCAGAATTTCACTCGTGATTACGCGTTCGTCCGTCCCTCCTTCCCTCCCCCCTCCCCTTCGTCTAGCCCTGGGCCGAACGGCCCCCTCCAACACACTCGTGACGAAAATGTGTTGAACGATGATGGTGACGTTCACCTGGTTTCAGCGCCGGAAGGCACTGCGATCACCAGTCGCTTACGCTGTGACGTCACCCAACGTCACAGCTGCTGACGGGGTGACGTCACGTCCGCAGGGGCTGACGAAGGCTCAGGTGCTTGAGCTGTCCACGGAGGCGGCGCTCGCGATAAGTGACGAACAGATGGAGAAGCTGCCGGATGACGCGAAGGAGGCACTGCTCATGGTTTTCGAGGAAAACTTGAAGTCCAGGAGCGCTCGCTCAGGTAGGCGGCAGGTCCGGCGCTGACGGAAGTCGTCCTTGGACAGGCTATGGGCTGGGCTGGGCTGGGCCATCGCAGTCTTATATGCTGCGTGTCGTAGTTCGTAGGTACAGCGCAATGATGTATTCACTGTATCTCGACGACAGTGACGTCGAAAAGCGAAAAATCTATGATGCCAGCAAACAGCCAGCAACGAGCAGCTTCAGTATCGTGCACGACCTGCTTTCGGATGTGTGATTTTAGACTGGTCATGGTGGCTGAGGCTCGCACTTCTAACGGCCCGTCGTGTTTCAGCGGCGGCTGGGCTCTCTCTGCTCCTGCTGGGCGTTTTCGCCGCCCGTCTGGCTTAAAGCCGGGCGGAGCGACCGGCGCGCAGCCAGCCGACGCCGGCACCCGCCGACAGAGCTTCGGTCGTCGACCGCCGCGGCCGGCGGCGCTAGCGTCGCGCCTGGAAGCCGGCGCAAGCACGCTGGCTTCCAGGGCTGCTGCCGGAGGAGGCTGAGTGTGCGGGGCAGCCGCTGCAAGCATGCTGCTAGCTTGATTTTCGGGATCTCTGAGCGCGCAAGAACAATGAGGAGAACGTTTGAGCGTGCCGATGGCCCGGATAGGGTTTTGGGCTCTGCAATCTGCAGCGGTCAGCGTATCCGCTAGCACGTAGACCCAAGGCTTTCTGGCCGATTGTTGTGATAGGGCCGGATATGCCAAGGTTGTTGGGCAAAGCCAGCCGTTTTCTGTGTGCTGCTTCTGCTCCAGATGTCCCTTACGTCACGGGATCTGGTTCAGACTTCTGTACCAGTGTGTGGAGCTCTTATTTTTCCCATACCCGTGCTTCATGTGCAACGTCTCTGGCGTGGAAACTAACCCTTGAAAAGACCGGCTTTTCGGCTTGAGTCTGACTTTTTGGCCGCCAGATGCCACGGTTACATCGGGCGAGGCCATTGCGACGGCAGAGGCTCCGGGGGACGCCTGTGCTGTGCGCCCGCCTGTGTCGTTAACGGACGCGTTAGCTGCGTTTGCCGTGTCGCGATTGTGCCTGTCGTTAACTGTCGCGCGCCGCACGCCGCCGTGCCCGCTCGCCTCGGGGCACGGGGACCCTGCCTGTGGCCAGCGCTCCGCCCCACCCCTACGGCGACCCCCGCGGCCCCCGGCGGGTCCCCATCCGGACGGGGCGCTGGTCTCGGCAGCGCTGACCAGCTCTCGGAGCGCTGGTCTCGGAGTGGATCAACAGCACGCTCGCGCGCCACCCGCCGGTGCCTGCCAAGACACCTTTCAAACCGGTTTTCATCAAGCGGCCGCCTCTTTTGAACGTGTCGGAGGCTCCAGAGTACGGTATCGGGCGTCTCCTGCGCTGAACTTTGCTGCCTTAGCGAACGGCGGCAGTGTGCGACACCGCCGTCCTTCGTGAATCCTACGCCATCCATCCCTGTGAATCCGCTCAGCCTCGACCCCGCCGGACCCGGGACGGCGGCAGCACGCTGTGAGGTGGAACTGCACTCGAGCCTGTCGTTAACCTTCAGACCTGCTAGAATAAAAGCTATGATTTCAGTCGCGTGGTGTGTGGTGTTTCGCGTGGTTTGGGACCACCACGGACACGTAGGACTTTGGCAGGTGCCTCAGGTACCGGCCGAACCGCTCCTGCTGCTGTAGCCTATTTGTCGGCCGGAGCTTACGAACACGCCGACCGCGCGTGCCATGTTACGTCGGCGACTATGGAAATCATTTACGCCCGCCACTCAGTCGCAAAGGTCGAAGTTCCGTTGAGAGAAAATACCGACGCTGAGTTCCGATCTCGACGGCCCCAGCTGAAGGTTAAACTACTGCAGCCGGAGAGTGAACTACCGCAGACGGAGAGTGAACTACCGCAGCCGGAGGGGAAAATATTGCAGCCGGGAGGGGGCAACTATGACAGCCGGAGGGTGAACTACCGCAGCCGAGGGTGAACTACCGCAGCCGGAGGGTCAACTATCACAGCCGGAGGGGAAACTATCACGGCCGGGAGAGAGGGGAGGGGGGGGAAGGGGAACTATGGTAGCCGGAGGGTGAACTGCCGCAGCCGGAGAGTAAATTACCGCAGCCGGAGTGGGAACTACCGCAGCCGGAGGGTGAACTACCGCAGCCGGAGGGTAAACTATCGCAGCCGGAGGGGAAACTATCACAGCCGGGAAAGCGGGGAGGGAAAACCATGGCAGCCGGAGAGTGAACTGTCGCGGCCGGAGAGTAAACTACCGCAGCCGGAGGGGGAACTACCGCAGCCGGAGGGGGAACTACCGCAGCCGGAGGGTGAACTACCGCAGCCGGAGGGTCAACTGTCGCAGCCGGGAGGGGGGAACTATGGCAGCCGGAGGGTGAACTGTCGCAGCCCGAAAGTGAACTATCAGAGCCGGAGAGTGAACTATCGCAGCCGAGGGTTAATTGTAGCCGGAGGTGAACTATAGCACCCGAGACGACGAAACACATTGCATTGGTAGCACTGGCGATATATTCAACTTCGATTCGAGCAAAAGTACAAATGTGGCGAATGACAAACACACTCAAGGTCACTTATGCATACTTCGCCATTTGGAGATTCGTGGTACTTGCAAACAAGGACAAGGGTGACGGAAAAATTAAATCATACATGTACACCGCCATTACATGTTCATTGAATCCACTGACAAGAGCCCCCCCCCCACAAATGTCAGCCTAACAGTGTCCTAACCGGTGCACTCGCTCTCAGTGGCAGACAACTCAGGTACTGTATCCATCATGAGTGATGACCGAAGCAGTGAACCAAACGACACTAATAGCAGACGCAAAGACGTCAAGTCTGTCGGCATTTCACATCCACCGGCATACCAACAATGTCGTGCTCCCACATCCCCTTTGTACGCGTCACAGATGACACTGACACATGGTTACAGCACAAAACACAGTGAGCACCGCCGCGACCGCCGGGCACGGGCAGCGCCATCTCGCGCCGCGCCTCTACAGCGCCATCTACCGGGCGGCGGGTGGGGAGGCCGGCCATCTATCATTGACGGCTGGCTGCAGTCGTCGGGCGATGGAGTCCGGCGACCCGGGCCGGCCGCCCAGTGGCAGCCTCCAACCCCACCGTCCCACGAGCTGGATCAGCTCCCTTGAGACAGTTATCAGCTGTGCCAGTGCCATCAGCCGTGCCGGCACCATCAGCTGTGTCAGTGCCAGCAGCTGTGCCAGCGCCAGCAGCTGTGCCAGCGCCAGCAGCTGTCCCAGCGCCATCAACTGCGCCCGTGCCATCACCGGTCCTCGCGCCGTTTGACAGCCTGGATCAGCTGCCGCAGCAGCGCCACCTTCTCGCGGTGCATGGCCTCCAGCCTGCGCAGCTTCTCCTCCTCCCAGGCGCGGCGCCGCTCGGTCGCAGTACGCTCGCGGTCCCGCCGCTCCTGCTCCAGATACTGCTGGAACCAGGGCGGCGGCGCCGCCGACTCCTCCGCCGGCGCGGCAGCCACCGCTGGGGGCGAACACCGGCGTTAACATCCCATGTGGCGTACGGAATCAGTTGGCACGGCACGGCGACGGACAAACTCTGTGCGGACCATCGCACCAACATCGACGTAATGGCACGCACACAGCACAGTTCCGTGTCGCGTCGTGAGCCCTCGCCGCGGACGACGTAACAACACGGCCAACAGAAGACGTGGTAATACAGCCAACAAGACGTAACAACGGAGGTAACAAAACGTTACGATACGGGCGACAAGATGTAACAACAAGGCCAACACAAGACGTGGCAACACGGCCAACACAACATGTGGCGACGGGGCCAACAAGACGCAACAACACGCCCAACAAGACGTTACAATACGGCCAACAAGACATAACAACACGGCTCACAGGACATTTCAATAAGGCAGACCTGACGCAACAACACGGCCAACGGTACGTAACAACACGGCCAACACAAGACGTGGCGACACGGCCAGCAAGACGCAACAACGCGACCGCAACAGCTGACTGACAACAACAACAAAAAAACGCGAAACGAAGCAGGCACCAATGCACTGAGCGCCGGGCTGGCAACAAAGGGCATTCCCAGCGGGCGGGCGGTCCGTGAGCCAACCCGCCGTTCGCACGCGCCTCGTCCCGCCCTTACCTGCACGCGGCTCCGGGCCGGCCGCCGCCGCCGCCGCCGCCACCGCCGGGCATCGTGCGGCGGGCTCGACGCGCGGCCGCTTGGCCGGCTTGAGTGGCGAGCCGCTGGCGACGGGCAGCGCCGCCGCCGGGATCACGAGCACGCCCTGGATGGCGCTGGGTGCGGGCGCGGGCGCGGGCGTCGGGGCCGGCGGGGCCGCCGCCGCCAGGTCCGGCTCCGCGTCCTCGCCGCTCTCCGGCCTCCGCGGGCTACGCTCCGCCATCAGCTCCTTCATGTCCTGGCGGGGCGGCGGAGCCGGTGAGTGCGAGCGCGACACGCGCTGGCCGTGCGGACGAGCCTCCCACGGCGTCTCGGCCGACCGGTCGCGGTCGGCCGGCACCCGAACACGGAGCTGCGCCGCGGGGGTGCTGTTGCACCGCTGCCTGCACAGCTCCGATGCCGTCGCACGCGGTCCGCAACGTCACTATCACCACCAGGTGATTTACATCTTACGCGCGACTTGACAGCAATATGAACAAACACAAAGCAACCGTGCGGCTTCAGACAGCTTCGGGCAATGCAACTACGCTGAGTAAGCAATTCCGTAAAATATATTTCGCCGCGCGAATACACTTGTAAACGGCGCGAAGTGTGCGTCAACGATCGCACACCTCTCACAGTCCCCCGATCCTTACTCTTACAAGGTTTGCGGGCATGAACATCCACGCCTGTCAGGAAGACGTGCGGAAGCCGACAGACCAATCAGCTGCACTCACGTCGTAGAACTCCCAGTGGGTGTTGAACACCCCCGATTCGGCCTCCCGCGCCATTATCCGTTTGTACGTGGCAAACATGTTCTGCCTGCCGACGAAAACGAACACGGCGTTGTGGTCCAGTGTCTGCCGTCCAACCGTTAACAACATCCACGGACTTTTGGTGTCAAGACCACGAGTCGGCTGAACACCACAAATAGTGAAAATACTGACACACCCGTCTGCTTACAAACAGCCTCATTCTGTGCTTATCTGTGAAGTCCAAGGCGCCTGGGTGGCGCTTTACTGTCTGCCACCACTCCCAAACCCGTCTGTCAGCTTCGCACGCCGTCCTCCCTGGCCACACCGGTCACACAAGGCCTCCCGCCTGCCCGGCCGCGTACGCACCACTTCTGCAGCACGTCCTTCGGCGCGACGTGGTAGCCGGCGGCAGCGAGCGAGTCGTTGGCGGCGTAGAAGGCCTGGCGCCGCTGCGGGCAGAGCGCGCCGCGCGGCAGGCCACCGCGGTCTGCCAGCGCCCAC